TCTCTCCCTTTTACTCTGCCCCTGCCCCTCCCCATCTCGTGTGCGCGTGCGCACTCTCTCAAAATAAACTTCTAAAAAAAGACGATAAAAAAAAAAGAACATAATTACTTAAATATCCAGATCAAAGTTTATTCTACCATAGCAAATAACAGGACTAGGTTTTTGGTTTGGGTTTTTTTTTTTTTTACATTTTTAAGTTGACGTATAATTACACACAATAAAATGCGCAGAGGGTTTAAGTGGAGAGTTTAATACATCCTGACAAATATTGACACCCATGTAATCAACACTTCAATCCAAACAGATTATTCCCCAAATCCCAGAAAGGCCCCTTAGGCCTTTTTTCCCTCGACTCCCATCCCCCATCTTCCCCCACCAGGCAACAACCACTCTTTGATTTCTATCCCTGTTGATTACTTTTAGTGTGTCAGACACACATTTTAGTGTGTCTGCGCATTTGGACCACAGGTGCTACTTGAGATTTGTTTTGGATCCACACCTTCCAGGAAGTCAGTCTTAACCCCAGTACAGACACATTTAGGTTTGAAGGGATTCACGTTTGCGAGATGTGAAGGCCAACTACGATTCCTCAGTATGCAGTCCAAAAAGAACTTTTGGAAAATAAAGTTTTCTTCACACTCTCTGCTTTCCTGGCTCTTTCTGTATCCCGCTTCTCCTTCAGGACAGCTGTCTTTGGGAAGACCTGCTTGAGCCCTTGAAAGGGAGCACAAAGGCACATCTTCCTACTTAGAAGCTACTTCCTGGTTTTGGTGACCTTCCTGCCTCACTGGGCCTCCTCTCACCAGCTCATCTGGCTTCCCCACGGGCATCACAAGAGGACGGTGGTAGTTAAAAACGTTAGCGTTGTCTTAAACCACTTAACTAGCTAGCAAGGGAACCGGGTTTTAGAAACTGGAAAACTCTGGCTAAGGCTTGCTCAGAACACTGTCTTAAAGCCAACAAGTATTGCCAAGGTCCAGGTGGAGGCGGCTTTCCACCAGCCACAGACACGGCCGATCAGACGGGCCTGCTTCTCTTCCAGGCCGAGCTGGCAGCCAGCGTGGGTCATTTTCTCCGTAGCGGCTTCGTTTCCCCAGACAGTGAGCTAATGCTTGGCATTAGCAAACTCCATAAAACAAGGCATTTCACCCCGTGCTTTAAGGCAGAAATGACTACATGGAATATACACACACACTTATTTAAATCAAGCCACATTTTTAAAAGTCTGAAGAAAAATAGTTAAAAATTATGCAAACATAGACACATTAGAATCCACTTGTGAACAAGAACAAAGGAATGATGCTGGAGTGTAAACTTCCCTCAAGAGCCAAATTTCAGAAGACGTTTTGTTAGACTACCCTCTGGAATTACAAGCGCAGCTGCCTAAAATCTGTTGGGAGAGTCCCTTTTCCTGTACAATGCCACTTCTGAGGACTTTCTGCTGTTTTGATAGTTTAAAATACAGAAACGGTTTTCTGTTTTTTACAAATGTTTATTTTTGAGAGAGAGAGACAGAGAGAGCGAGCAGGGGAGGGGCAGGGAGAGGGGGACAGAGGATCTGAATTGGACTCCATGCTGACCATGAGATTGCGACCTGAGCCGAAGTCAGACGCTTAACCCACCGAGCCACCCAGGTGCCCCTTACATAGTTTTTTAAAAAGCCACCTCCCCACCCCTGTCCCCTGCCGCCAAAAAAAAAAAAAAAAAAAAAAAAAAAAAAAAAAGAAAGAAAGAAAGAAAAGAAAAGTGAAACAAAGTTAACTGTGTACAGATTTGGAGCAGTAACCACAAAAGGAGATGTTTCATGAAACCTGAAAACACAATCTTTAGATCAGGGTTTCTCAGCCTCAGCACTACTGATACTGTGGGCCAAATACTCCTTTGTTACGGGGTTTGTCCTGTGCACTGCAGCATGTTAGCAGCACCCAAGGCTGGCAACGCTTGGCCCATACTGTCACACATCATTTCTGGGGGAATTCAGTGCTGTGTGTGCAACTCCACGGGAGACAGTTTTTAAATGCAGGAGGAGAGGACATGCCAGGCCACAAGGAGTCACACGGAGAAGCACCAGGGTGGGTCAGGAGGCAGAAGGAGCGAGGACATGCGTGCAACAGCCGTTATTGTAAAGGGGAGGAAGGGCCGGGGCAGGGTAAGCGGACTTGGGACTGGCTAGTTGGACTCATTTCAGTGGTCTCTGAGGCACAAGGGCTGTCCCTGGTTTTCTCGTACCTGGACCTGGGGCAATCAGGGCAGGTGGAGTGTGGCCCAGAGTGGGAGAGCCCCATAAAGCACGTGGCTGGGTATGAACTCTGGAGGGCTTACTTTCTTTTCTTTTCTTTTTTTAATGTTTATTTATATTTGAGACAGAGAGAGAGGCAGTGTGCAAGCAGGGGAGGGGCAGAGAGAAGATGGAGACAGAATCCGAAGCAGGCTCCAGGCTCTGAGCTGTCAGCACAGAGCCTGACGTAGGGCTTGAACAGACAAGTTGTGAGATCATGACCTGAGCTGAAGCTGAAGCCAAACGCTTAACCAACTGTGCCACCTAGGTGCCCCTGGAGGGCTCAGTTTCAATCTTTTACTATCTCTGGGAGTTGGCTAGCCTCCGTGGGCAGTCTCTCCAGGGTGAGCAAGGCCCTGGATGTCAAAGCATCAGAAGCATATGGTTGATACAGGGAGGATAGAGTCTTGCACCTGGACTGTGCCCGTGTGCCTTTTCTCTCTGCCGACGTTAATCTGTGTCCTTTCAGGGGCACCTGGGTGGCTCAGGTCATGATCTTGCAGTTTGTGAGTTTGAGCCCACAGTTTGAGGCTGTCGGGACAGAGCCTGTTCCGGATTCTCTGTCTCCCTCTC